ACTAACCAGATTTCCTTTTAGGAACGCATCTTAGATCACCAAGCTACAATCACAAGGGGGTATTGGTGGTTGGAGGAGATTTTAACTTGGTTCTGGATCCTCTCATTCATCCTACTCAGCCATTCGACGCATTCGTAATTGCCTAAGACTGCACCATCTCATAGATGTTTGGCGTATTCTCCATCTTACCGTCAGAGACTATACCTTCTTTTCCAATCCTCACTAATCCTATATGAGAATAGACATGTTCCTCGTACGACACTGACCTACATACAGGGCCGCCGTCAGGGGAGTACCGCCGATAGTCATGTAAGGGGCCCGGGCAGCCTTAGGGGCCCGATCACCTTACATGTGTATCGGCCGACGGCCATACAGGTGCCTGGTGGGAGGTGGAGGGGGCCGGACCCCCGCAGCACCGGAGGAAGTCGGGGCCGTACTCTTCATATCCTCACCTTAGGTGCTCTGTACGGGCCTCCGGTGTCCCCAGGGAGTCTGCACTGCACATTAGGTTTTTAAAGATGGCCGCCGCGAGTAGCTGTGAGAGTGTGTTCTTTTTAATGAGTGTGTGATATGTGCGTTTATTTCATTACGTGAGTGTGTTTTTTTTAACCCCTTCCCGTGGGTTGACGTAAATTTACGTCCTCCGCTGTAAGTGGTTATACAAAGAATATGGCTGCTCCTGCAGCCGTGTTCTTGGTACCATTTTAGGGCTTGTTCACACCACTTGCATCGCATTGTGGCCGACTCACTTTTTGCTGGGCTGGAGGGGTGTGGTGGGCCATTGAAGTGAATGGCACCGTAGCCATGACCCCCGGCCGCAATGCAATCGCCCGCACGGGATCGCAGGGCACTATTTTGAACGCACTGCAGGTACAATGTGCCTTGCAATCCTGTGCGGGCGATCGCATTGGAGCTGGAGGGCGTGGCTACGGCACCATTCACTTCAATGGCCCGCCACGCCCCCTCCAGCTCGGCAAAAAAGTGAGCCGGCCGCAATGCGGGCAGTACGTTCTGGCCAGAGTCGGACTGGAATGCACTGCTTATGGTGTGAACTAACCCTAAGCCGTGTGTCCAGTAGACATGTGCAATTCGTTTCGGAAGAATTCGTTTTCTGGACGAAATTGGTTAGCGGTAGTCTGTACGCATTTTCTGTTTGTGGATGAATTTTCATTGCAGCAAAGTGATAATTAAAAAAAGAAAATGGTTTTAATGTCACTTTGCTGCAATGAAACGAACGATACGAACATGAAACGGAAATGAACATTCGTACAGACTACCGCTAACAAATTTTGTCCAAATCCCGAAAAACGAAATAAACACAAAATTTGAATCAAAACAAGATGAAACTTTTTTCTGAAGGCTGAAAGACGTGACGTCTTTCTGCCTTGAGGAAGGGACCCTGCGCGGTCCCGAAACGTCGGCTTTTCTGATCACTGTGACGTCTTTGTCCAATAAAAAAAGGACATATTCATCTTTACTACCGAGTGCTGGTGATCTGCTTCTTTGTTCTGTTTCTCAGGACATTCTCTCTTAACTTTGTTCCTATTTTTCCTTGAACTCAACCCCAGACTGTGATCCCATGATTCTTTGGGAAGCTCACAAAGCCTACATCAGGGGGGTCCTTATTAAACATTGCTCGCAAACTAAGAAAGGTAAACTCGCTCAGATAACTGATCTACTGACCGATATCCAAGACTTGGAAATGGAACACAAATGCACACTTGCGTCATCTGTTATAGGGAAGCTTTCTTCTCTACGGCTGCATTCGAAGTCACTCTGCTTGTTCAGAGCCAAATGCGCTCTCGCTAGATGTAGACTGACCTTCTCCGAGATTGGGGACAAATGTGGGAGACTTTTGGCCCGAGCCTTGCGAGCACAAAGGGAACGGACCTTTATCCTGGATATTCAATCACATGGTCCTACCAAGGTTTCCAAGACTGACGAAATTGTGGAAGCCTTTCGGCTTTATTATATGTCCTTATATAATCTCAGCTCCGATTCTGGAGACCTTCGGAACCCATCCTTTACTTCTATGATTGACGCATTCCTGCATGAGTCTGGTATGCCTCGTCTTTCGAAAGATGATATTTCTTCCTTGAATAACCCTCTCACCATAGATGAACTTACTCGAGCCATTGCCCAGACCAATGTTGGAAAAACACCTGGTCCTGACGAATTTACTCTGGTTTATTACAAATGCTTTCAAGACCTTCTATCCCCGTACTTCCTCGATGCTTTCAAAAGCGTTGGAACTGGAAGCTTTTTCCTTACAGATACTCTTACACGTTAGGTATCGCCGTGTGTGTCGAGAGCAATAATTATCGGGCCAAAATTCATGGCCAACTCTAAACTGATGACCGGGCTTTCATAATTATATATAGCATCCCCCACACTTTCACACTATGGTTAAAATGACAAGGTCAGGAGGAAATGAAAGCATTTTTGCAATTGCATTGCAGGACTTGGGCTCGTGAGTCTTAATTCTTAATCCTAAATAGTTTTTTTTTTTATGAAATTTTAGGTGATGCTGGGGGGATTTGTCTATACCATGGCAGGCAAATCACAGCATTTTGGAAGTATAAGAAAAACTGGACCACAAAAGTGACAAAGCAGTGCTGGGTGTCCTGGAAGTGATGGTTTGGCCCCTACAGAGCCCTTATCTCAACATCAAGTATGTGTGGAATTACATAAAAAGACAGAGGATTGGAGGCAGCCTACATCCACAGAAAAATCTGTGGTTAGTTCTCAAAGATGTTTGGAACAACCTACCTGTAGAGTTTCTTCAAAAACTGTGTGCAAGTGTACCTAGAAGAATTATATATACACACATATATATACACACACACACACACACACACACTATACTGTATATTGCCAAAAGTATTGGGACGCCTGCCTTTACACGCACATGAACTTTATTGGGGGCTTAGAGTTTGAAGTCCTGACATCATTTGCCAAGGAAGGTAATGTGAGGGTTTTAGGGTAACGGGAGTACAGGCCGGAAGGGTATTACTTCATACCCCCCCCAGGTGTATACCTCAGGCGGACCAGAGGTACGTATAGGGCAATTCTGGAGACTAGCTGAGCAAAGTAGTAACACAAGCTAATATCTTCCTCCCTCAGCACAAGTCATATGTTATTTAGAGTCAGTTCATGCAACCATAGGAGGTTGCAGGGTAATCACATTCAAATTAAGTGCAGCAGGGGCTGCTCCTATAACCAGCAAGCAGAGTGACAGGTCAATGGACAGTCTTGTAACCAATAGCCAGTATATGGCACTTGCGGTTTAAACCAGTAGATGCTCAGCTGGCTATGGATTTCAGGAGAGGCGTTGGGGGTAGCCCTTCTGGCTCCACTCCTAGGGCCCTGGAACATGGGCCGTACGTCAGTGGGGTTAGGGAGTTGCAGGGCGCACACTCCACAATAGTGGAACGCCATGCAATACTCCCAGCCCCTCTTAACTTGGACGCGGAAGTGCAAGGGGGGGGGGGGGCAGCATGACCCACGTTGCCGCCACGTTCCAGCATGGAACGCAACAGCGGATTCCCTTACAGCAGGCCTATCAAGCTCCTCCACCCCAAACTCGCTCATCCCTGTCTTTATGGACCTTGCTTTGTGCACTGGTGCACAGTCATGTTGGAACAGGAAGGAGCCATCCCCAAACTGTTCCCACAAAGTTGAGAGCATGGAATTGTCCAAACTCTCTTGGAATGCTGATGCCTTAAGAGTTCCCTTCACTGGTACTAAGGGGCAAAGCCCAACCCTTCAAAAACAACCCCACACCATAATCATAAATCGCAACACAGTCAGGCAAGTAGCGTTCTCCTAGCAACAGCCAAACCCAGACACGTCCATCGGATTGCCAGACAGAGAAGCGTGATTTGTCAATCCAGAAAAAACGTACCCACTTCTCTAGAGTCCAGTGGCAGCGTGCTTTACACCACTGCATCCGACGCTTTGCATTGCACTTGGTGATGTAAGGCTTGGATGCAGCTGCTCGGCCATGGAAACCCATTCCATAAAGCTCTTTACACATTATTGTTGTGCTAATCTGAAGGCCACATGAAGTTTGGAGGCCTGTAGCTACTGACTCTGCAGACAGTTGGCAACTTCTGGGCACTGTGCGCTTCAGCATGCGCTGACCCCGCTCTGTCATTTTTACGTGGCCTACCACTTCGTGGCTGAGTTGCTGTTGTTCCCAGTTGCTTCCACTTTGCTATAATACCACTAACAGTTGACCAAATATGTAGTAGCAAGGAAATTTCAGGGATGGACTTATTGCACAGGTGGCAACCTATCACGGTACCACGCTTGAATTCACTGAGCTCCTGAGAGCAGCCCATTCTTACACAAATTTTTGTAGAAGCAGTCAGCATGCCTATGTGCTTGATTGTTTACACCTGCGACCATGGGGGTGATTGGAACACCTGAATCCAATTATTTGGAGAGGTGTCCCAATACTTTCGGCAATGTAGTGTGTGTAGAGCATTGGACAGGTACAGACTGTATTAAGGTAGATGTGTATGAAAAGCTTCTGCAGACAATGGGGGGGGGGCTGTAACTAGAGTTGCCACCTGTCCAGGATTCACCCGGACAGTTCGGGTTTTGAATGCTGTGTCCGGGTTTCATGGAACCAGGAACCCGGACACAAGATGTCAGGCAGACAGGGGCAACCAAAATTAAGATAGGGGCTAGTGGCCCCCCACTGAAAATAGTCTCAACTGTGTTTTTTACATATTAATGGGTGGTGCCCATTACATATGAATAAGCCACGACTCCTTCTCCCCAAAAAATATGTCCACGTGTCGCTAGAGTGTTCGGGTTTCGCTTGAAGAAAAGGTGGCAACCCTAGCTGTAACAGATGTTACTGTAGCAGTGTAGAGAGAGCAGTGAGATGGGTCTTTGTAGAATTCAATTTTGTGAAAGTTTTGCACTTCAAATATTTTAAAGTTAGTTAAGAAATAAATATATAATTCAGATTTCTGAAACGTTCTACTTACAAATATGGGTTTAGGCTTGTAATCCTCTTCAAACAGATTCTGAATGGCAAACAAAGCTGCCTGGAGGGAGGGAAAAGCACAAGCAATGTTGAATATAGTTTGCAGAAGTTCAGTCCGCATATAATCTATAATGGTTTGGGTTAGATTTATTATTTTATTACCTTAAAAGAGAGCTATGGACAAACTGTTTTTCTCTCCCCATAGTTTTCCTTTAAAGTTTAACAAAAAGAACAATACAAAAATATATCTATATATCTACAGTGCATTTAGAAAGTATTCAGGCCCCCTTTACTTTTTTTTCCATTTTGTTCTGTCACAGCCTGATACTACAGTTGTTTAAATCGTTTTTTCTCAATAATCAACACTCAGTACTCCATAATGACAAAGTGAAAACAGAATTTTAGAAATGTTTGCAAATGTATGGAAAAGGAAAAACTTAAATATCACATTGGCATATGTATTCAGACCCTTTGCAACATCACTTGAAATTTAGCTCAGGTGCCTCCCATTTCTCTTGATCGTTGCCGAGATGTTTCTACACCTTGATTGGAGTCCCCCTGTGGTAAATTAAATTGATTGGACATGATTTGGAAAGGCACACACCTCTCTATAGAAGGCCTCACAGCTGACAACGCATACTGTATCAGAGAAAAAGCCATGAGGTTAAAAGGAACTGCCTGCAGGGATCAGATACAGGATTATTGCAAGGCACAGATATGGGGAAGGCTAGAAATACATGTCTGCTGCACTGAAGGTTCCCAAGAGCACAGCGGCCTCCATAAATCTCAAATGGAGGAAGTTTGGCACAACCAGGACTCTTCCAAGAGCTGGTCGCCAGGCCAAACTGAGCAATCGGGGGAGAAAGGCCTTAGTAAGAGAGGTGACCAAGAACCCGATTATCACTCTGACTGAGCCCCAAAGATCCTGTGTGGAGATGGGACAAAGTTCCAGAAGAACAACCATCACTGCCGCCCCCCACCGTTCTGGCCTTTATGGCAGAGTGGATAGATGGAAGCCTCTCATCAGTCCCAAACCACAAAAAAGCCATATCCCTGTCAAGTAGCAGCTTGGAACAAAAGTAATAAAAGCACTGTAGCCACGAACACTACAAATCGGTAAGAAGGAAGGACTTTGAAAAGAATGACCTTAATCTTATGCAAAACTAAAATAATGGCTTGCAGTCAAGGCCACCATTCCAAGAGTCTCCGAGCCAAGGCAATATTTGACCCTTGCATATAATTAGGCCCAAATGTTGTTCAAGTTCTGATTGAAGAAAGGCCAAGATTGTCCAATGGAGTATTTTCAAGACAAAAAAAAAACCTCTGTTCGCACCCTACGAAAGTAAGCCCTCTGGGTATGATGACATGATTTGCAAAGAGGTGGACTTCCTTGCTAGCAAGAGTGTGGAAATCAAAGAATTGAACGCAATAAATGTATGTACATATACATACACACACATATACACAGTCATGGCCAAAAATATTGGCACCCCTGCATTTCTGTCAGATAATGCACCACTTGCGCAGAAAATTGTTCCAATAACAAATGTTTAGGCATTCTCATGTTTATTTCTTTTGTTTGTATTGGTATGACATAAAAGTGGAGGGGAAAAAAAATCCAAATCTGACACATTCCACGCAAAACTCCAAAAATGGACTGGAGAAAATTATTGCACCTTCTCCAAATTGCAAGAAATAACTGCATTCCAAGTTTTTGTGGAAAAACATGGACAATCTCAAGGTTATAAGTCCATCTCCAGAGATCCTAATGTTCCTGTGTCCACTGTGTGCAACATGGTCAAGAAGTTTAAAGCCCATGGCACTGTAGCCAATCTCCCTGGACGTGGACGAAAGAGAACAATTGATCAAAGATTGCAACAAAGGATTGTTCGAATGGTGGATAAAGACCTGGGATCAACTTCTAGACAAATTCAAGCTGACCTTCAGGCACAGGGTACAACTGTGTCAGCTCGCACTATACGTCGCCATCTCAATGAAAAAGGGACGCTATGGTAGTAGACCCTGGAGGACCCCACTGCTGACACGGAAACATAACAAAAAACAGGATTGAAGTTTGCCAAAACTTACCTGGGAAAGTCAATATCATTTTGGGAGAATGTGCTGTGGACAGACTAAACAAAATTACAGCTTTTTGGTAAAGCCCATCATTCTACTGTTTTCAGAAAAAGAAATGAGGCCTTAAAAGAAAAAAAAACTACAGTCCCAACAGTCAAACATGTGGAGGCTGACTGATGTTTTGAGGTTGCTTTGCTGCTTCAGACACTGGTTGTCTTGACTGTGTGCATGGCATTATGAAATCTGAAGACTACCAAAGAATTCTAGGGTGCAATGTAAGGCCCAGTGTCAGAAAGTTGGATCTCCGTCAAAGCACACGTCAAAAAGCACCCAGAAGTGATTTCAGACAAAGCGCTGGAGAGTACTGGACTGGCCAGCAATGAGTCCAGATCCAAATCCCATAGAGCAGTGGTCCTCATTCCCCAGCGGGCCACGGTAAAATTATTAAACGTTGACCGGTCCGCGGCGATAAAAAGGTTGGGGAGCACTGCCATAGAGCTCCTGTGGAGAGATCTCAAAACAGCAGTTGGGAAAAGGAACCCTTCCAATCTGAGAGACCTGGAGCAGTTGGCGAAAGAAGAGAGGTCCAAAATTCCTGCAGAGATGTGTAAGAAAATAATTGATGACAGGAAGCGATTGATTACAGTTGTATTTTTTTTAAGGGCTGTGCTACCAAATAGTATGCCAATAATTTTGTCCAGTCCATTTTTGGAGTTTTGCGAGGAATGTGTCAGATTTGCCTTTTTTTTCTATGCTTTGTTGTGTCATACCAATACAAAAAAAAAAAAGAAACAGAAGTATGTCTAAACATTTGTAACTGCAACAACTTTCTCTGCGAAGTGGTGCATTATCTGACAAATGCCAGGGTGTCAATATTGTTATTGTATATATACAATGTTATTCTGGCCACCTGATTTAGATAGGGGTGTCATGTCTCGATTTCTCATGTTTTACAGTGAGGAGTATCAGTCATGTCCCACGTGTCAGAAAGCATGGACTTGGCTTCTCATCAGGCTTCGCCTAGCAGGGGCTCTGAACATGGAAGCGCCCCGTCTCTAAGGGCATGGACCATCCCCAAGCTTGTCTTGGAGCTCCAGAAGAAGGGCATTCCCTACTCTTCTACAGCTAGGAAGGCAGAACTTTTCAAGTTATTGTTTCCGGCGGCAGCCGCTAGTGGCACTTCTCAACAGGTGTCCATGCAAACTGTGGTCACTTCGTTGACACATATTCATGCAACTTTAAACACCATCACGGCTTCGTTATACGAACTTCAGCACCGAACAGACATGCTAGAAAGGCAGGCAGTGGTCACCCCAGAGGCAGTAGTGCCGGATGTCCCTGGTACCCCCATTATCATCCCTGGCGTCAGCACCACGGGCCCCCCCCACCCCCCGGCAGGTATGACCACTTTTCCGCCCCACATCTCACCAGCTCATTTCCTTCCGGCTAACCTCAGGAAAGAGATTTTGGAAGGCAAAGATGTCAATCTGGCATCTCTTTTCATTGCTGCCCATGGCGTCTCTGACAACAAGGCGTACGCATGCGGGGACGTGCCTGTCATTCTGAAAGCCAGAGACCCCAGGTTAAAACAGAAAGTTGTCCATTGCCGAGTTCGTACTGTCGTTCGGGACTTTCAGGGACGTGATATGTTCAGCTAGTCCGGGGCGGAGGGAGGAATTTGATGCATCCATACATATTGTAATTGATTTAGCTTATAAGTATGGGGGGCATGCCTTCTATGATTACCACCGGGCTTTCTCTGCCAAAGCCGCGGCCGGGCTCGCTCAATTTCAGTTTGTCACTAATTGGGGTAGGATAGACACGGAGCTATTTTGCCGTCACTTCGCAGGGTTAAAATCACCAGTCTGTACCTCATGCCAGTCATCGGCGCACACGACTGACTGGTGTCCCACAACGATATCCGCAGATACGGCCATGACACTCAGACAACCAGGACTGGTGCCTAATCCACCCACTGCAACCTCGGCACAATTCAACAAATTAGGGAGGCCAATACAGTGTCTGGGCAAAGCCCAGATATGTAACAATTTTAACTTCAAGTCTTGCAATTACCCTCAGTGCAGATTATTGCATATTTGTTCTGGATGTTTCAGGGCCCACCCCAAATCTGCTTGTACTGTCAAGAATTCCCAGAATCCATGACTAAACCGGGTTGACGTGGAAGTATTAGTCTCCATGCTATCTGCTCACCCTGACCCATTGTTGGCTGTGTTCTTGGGCGACGGGTTTTCCCACGGTTTTCATACCGGTTTCATCACTCTGCCACAAGCAACGCATGAATGCGGCAATTTGAGATCCGCCCTGGCCGATCCCCCCGCTGTCGAGGCCTTACTGCAGGTAGAGCTGAACAAAGGTTTTAT